AGTTATAGTAGATAGAGGAGGAGCCCAAGGGTGAGACTGTCCAAATGGGATGAAAAAGGCCGATCATGTTGCACTCTAGCATCTTAAACTTTGATATGGTATCATTGTGGTCTAGCTAGTGTCAACTGTGACACTTTTTGGGATTCCAGAGCCTGTCCTTTTGCATTGAGGATGTGTTGAGAGGGGAGCCTCTCAACAGTGTGGAGAACACTCTTTCATACTCTAAAATTCTGCTCAAAATATATCTCTTGTATGAACTCTCTAAAACCCTAGCAATGGGAAGAAAGGGGTTTATACCCCCCTCCCAGAATATCCTTCACACCCCTAGAATATTCTAATAGTGGAATATTCTAGGGACTCACTCAAATGCTATATATATCCTAATAGGAAATCACTATAAAACTCTAATATTCCTATTAACTTTGTGCTTTTACATTCTTGGAAAAGTTTGCCACACAATTAACCATGTAGTGTAGGCCAACTAAAGTGAGTTAGACTATTCCCCCTTCTTGGGCAGCATAAGTGCATTTAATAACACTAACAACCTTCCTTCCAAAGTCTTGGTTTGTTCCCAAATTGCTTGTTTTGTTTCTGTTTTACTGGTCTATGCATGCAGATTGCAGTGGAATAAAATTAGATTGCTGCTCAGAAGCCTAGATTTGTGGACATTAGAATGACTTTAGAACTTTTTGCATAAACCTGTTGGCCACTAAGTTTCTTGCACTTAGGCCTAGTTCTTTTTTTTTAAGGCTAATCTCGAGTTTCTTGGGATAAAGAGCAGGTGATTTAAAGAGACTAACCTTGGAGATCCCAATCAAGTTGAGCACATTGAGCAGAAAGAGATCACAGCTTGGCCTTTAGTGTCGCAATCAAGGGCAATACCCAGCCTTGGAGCACCTGGTTGTGGATGGAGATCATGGCTTGGCCTTTAGAAAGGCAATAAATCCACAATGACAATATATTCCTATAACTGTCCGTGCACTCTACAATGTGCTTCTTGAGCTCCCAAAATTTGGAGACTCACATTAAAAAACACTTTATACTAAGAAATGGGAGAAGAAGCCTCTAAATGCTTATGAGTCTTACCATGCACAAGTTCAGTGTGGAATTATCAACAAGGTGATTTAGTATTGATGAAGTTTTCTCATCTTGGGTGTCTTTTGGTCAAGTAGAGAACTTGCCACGTTAGTGCAATCTGGACCTGTATAAGTACGAGACTCCAGTATAGATTCTCTTAACACTATAGAAATCAACAATCATCTTATACCTTCGATCTTGCTTTATGGAAAGATATGAATTAAACCCATCAAATTTTGAATAATACCAAGATTTAAGCAGAAAACAAATTGAGCTGCTCCATGATCTAGAATGTACGATTTAATACAAAGAGAACTTTTGCAACCTAGGATGCATCAAAGTTCCAGCCCTCAAAGTTTGAGCAAATAGTGTGTTCCTTGCTGGACAAAGAGGAACTTGGTTGCTCAGGCTGGATTGACACCCTATCGAGCCTGTCCTTGCAAAGGAAACTCTAAGAGTGTTGATTCCTGGGAAGACATCAACATTTGCATTGGTGACGATGCTTGTACTTGGTGTTCCCAGGATCCCTGAGTCCCTGGAACATGAAATCACTGCCACTAACGTGGTTATTGTTGAGAATCCCAAGCTCTTCCAGACCACACCAGAGCTTCCCAATCGTGGTCACAGCATTGGTCCCCGATCGTCAAAGTAAGCTTAATCGCTTGTGTCCACAAACTTTAGAATGGAATCAATGCAGGAAGATTCTATATGTACTTGTCTGATGGAAAAGATGGAAGTTACATTAAGATACGAAGTTCTTTCCCAGCTGTGGAAACTCTTGGGGGCTGTTGATGCTCGGGCTTAGAGCGTCTCCTCCTCCAGCGGCCGAGTAGCGAGCTCCAGAGGGCGATTGGAATCCACCCCCTCGTCCTCGCCCTCTTCCACCGCGAGGGCTTCCATCAGCTGGTCTCAGGAACTCGTTGATATTGATTGCCTGTGTTAAAGAAGAATCGATTGTTGATATCGACAAGAACAAAGGGAAGAAACAGCGCACCTTCTTAGATTTCTCGTCTCTTTCGGCCGCGTCCTTCTTCTTGAGCTTATCTTTGTCAGATCCCTGTGCGTTTTGGAAGATTGTGTTAGAGATCACGAGATCCTGGTAAATGTTAACAAAAGATCGCCAGACCAGTTTGATAAAGACGTCGGCATCGTTCTTCTTGTCCACTAGCTGCATCGCTCTGAGCTCACTGTCGGCTTCCACTTTGCGTTCCTCGGCTTTCTGGTGACCCCCGATGCTCTTGCGCCGCTCCTGCACTATCTTCTCATACTCATCCAGTGTCATCTCCTGAAAAAACCATTTCCATTCACACGCCATCTCCTTCGTAAAAAACACAAGGAAAGAGTAAACTTACTTTTTCTTCCGGTGCTTCCTCTTTTTTGTCTTCGGTGTTCTTGTCAGTCTCTTGCGAGGCATCCGGAGGAGGAGCTACAACTTGCTCAAACTTGCTCCCAGCAACCTCTCTAGTTTTCACGAAGAACAAACAAAGTGAGCGAGAGAGAAGAAGGGAAAAAAAAAAAACAGATCGAAAAGCTTACGGTGGCGCGCCCCCGCTGCGTTGCTCATCTGGAGGATAGAAGCCTCCTCTACCTCCTCCACCTCGTCCTTGGCGATCTCTCCCACCATCAAAACTTCGTTCACCGTCGGAAGCAAAGCTCCTGTTGTAGTAGCCCCCTCGGCCTCCTCCGCGACGATCGCTGTGATCACGGTCGCGATCACTGGCAGAATCTCCTCCAGCCACGAGATTCTCGCGGCCCCTTCCAGCCCTTCCACGGCCGCGGCCACGACCGGCCTGGGCTTCCTTCTCAGCCCTCACTGGAGCAGTAAGAAAATTTCCGGAAACGCTTAGAGCTCGCAGATCGAAGAGGACTTACCGGATTCGGCCGGAGGAAGAGGCTTGGAAGGAAGCTTTGCATGATGGAGATCCTTCTTGGGCGAGGATTTGCTTGGAGCTGGAGGCGCCGCCGCGGTGGCAGCCGTGCTGTACTTCGCTACAGGATCCTCGTCCTCATCGTCGCCCAACAGCGCAAATCGATTGAAAGCAGCCATTTCGAGGCAAAATCAGCTGGATGCCCCAAGATTCTCACATTTGCCGGCGAGGTGGGAGAAATGCGCTATCCCGGCATGGGCAGCCGCCACATCCGCTTCCATCGCCTATCTCGAAGAACCCTAAATTTGTGTAAGAGCCCTAATTTCCATTTACATTTATCTCAAACTGACATTTTATTTTGAAGGAGACTCCATCCAATGCGAATTCATATTCGTGCTACCAGCAAAATCTCAAAAAATTTATGGTGTAATATCACCACATTATATTAGCATTAAAGAATTTCTCTCGTTAATTATTATTTTTTTGGATTTTTGAGAATTTGTTTGGTTCTTTCATTTTTGGTAATGGTTTGAGACCACGACCCGATCAAACTGAAACAATCCATGCTATGGTTTTGATCAAGTCAGTGAAATTAGCGTGTTATCCTTCTTTGTCCCCTTCAATCTTTATGCTTGACCAAGTCAGATCTGGAGTGCTTGACACTGCCAGTCGGTGACAACTACTATATAAACTCAACACATTTCTCCTCATTCCATTCTTCGTCAATCAAGTAGCATCACAGCAAAAAAATATCAAAAGCTTTGATCAATCAGCTCAACTCTTACTGCCAAGATACAAGATGTCTTACAAGTTAGCCATTTGTCTGGTTGCCATTTGTGCCATTGCTTTCGTCCATGGATCAGATGAAGATGCCCTCCAGGATTTCTGTGTCCGCGACAAAAACAGCAACACCATCGTCAATGGATTCACTTGCAAGCCTGCAGCGGCAACTCTAGCCAGTGATTTCATGTTCCAGGGACTCCGCAACCCAGGGAACACCAACAACAAGCTCGGATCCATAGTCACCAATGCAAATGTTGGCGTATTCCCGGGAATCAACACTCTTGGAGTCTCTTTTGCGAGGGTTGATTATGCTCCATACGGTGTCAATCCCCCCCACGTCCACCCCCGAGGAACCGAGCTCCTCTTCCTCCAGCAAGGAACACTCTATGTTGGATTCGTGAGCACCACCAACAACACACTCTTCGCTCAAACTTTGCATCCAGGGGATCTCTTTGTGTTCCCGCGTGGTCTCGTTCACTTCCAGCTCAACGTTGGGAAGACACCGGCTGTTGCTCTTGCGGGATTCAACTCCCAGAATCCGGGTGTCACCCAGGTAGCCAAAGCAGTGTTTGCATCCAATCCTCCCATTTATGACGCCGTCATCGAGAGGGCGTTCCAGATCAATCCCAAGCTCATCCAGCAGCTCAGGGACCTCATCAAGCAAACTTAATCAAAACTTGCTTTTGCAATGATTCTTATGTAATTTTCAAGAATAAGATTGAATAAAGAACTTTACCTTTTCAACTGCTTAAAATATTTAAAATAACAATTAAATAATTTAAATCTGAAATATTTGTACGGCTGCTGGCTCGTTGTACGGGTCCGCTTGTAAATAACTGCCTTCACTGTCGGCTGAAGCGGGAAAACTTAAATTTTAGGGCTCGTGTGGTGCTAGGGCTAAGGGCTCCATCACAATGCCGGGGGATCCCAGCGCCATGGCAGCGATCTTGAGGTAGGGCATTTCTCGCGTCCATCGCAAGCGGCGCCATGGGGCTGTCACTGGGAGGAGGATTGGAGACGGCAAACACCCCTCGCAAGAGGCGGCCGTTTGCGCCGTCGCGGCCACACACGGCAGGGGTTACCGCGATCTCGCACAGGCCACAGACGGCACCAGCGAGGCCCCAGTCAAGCCCCAGGAAGAGAATGGATCGAAACAGCCCCTATTCCCCACGGAATCGCTTCGCCACGCCGAGGTCTGCGAACTTGAGCCGGCCCCAGACCGCTGGTGAGCCCTTTGCGCTCAATTCCTCGGCTTGGGGGATGAAGCCGATGCCTGCCGGGTCTCCAGCTTCCGGCCGGTCGAGAGGGAGCGATTCTTCCAGGTGTGGCCTCGATCGAGAGACGCTCGTCAAAGAGCTTGTCGAGTTGAAGAAGCTTGTGGCGGATCAAAACAGGCAGCAAAAGAAGCAAAAGCTTCTAGCTTCCGCGGTGGAGCACGAGAATAGGTACCATTTCCTTTGTCATTTCATCACATCTTGTTTTCTTTCGCTGTGATTCTTCCAACTTACAGGAAGTTGGAGAGAGACATATTGGATCTTGAGTTGAAAGGAATTGCCGACGCCCTCAGTGATTACGACTCACCGTTTCTTCGCGAGAAACTCCAAGGTATGTTAATTGTATTTCCTTTGATCGAAGCTCTTCAACTCTCTGGCTTGTTTGGCTGCAACGTAGATTTCAAGACAAGGATCAGCTACTTGCAAAGGGCTTGCCGGCTCCAAAGTGAGGAGCTCTGCCTTTTGCGAAGAGATGTCCGTGGAACGCACACCAAGGTGCCTAGTAGTCTCGTGGCAGGAATAGACAGCCTTTAATTTCTTTTTTTCTCGCAAGGGAACAGGAGCTTGAAATGGAGCGAGACGTTTTTGCAGAGGAAGCGTTCTTCTTGCAGAGGGTGGCGAGAAAGCTGGCAACGATTCAGACCCGGATCAACTCCGAGAACAAGGAGATTCAGCAAATGTTAGCGAAGAACGAACAGCTGGAAGCAGCCAACTATCAAACCCAGTCCAACATCACGGTATCTCCAGCGTTGTCCCCGATCTCTAGCTGATGGAAACGAGCAAAGTTTTGCAGGAAGTATCCAATGTGCTTCAGAAGGTGACGCATTCTCTGTCCATTTGCCGGTTCAAGACGAGCGAGGCATCCATCGCCAGCAAGAGGTATTTGAAGCAGAGCAAGGACGTGAGAAGGCGTGGATTGGCAGCCGAGCAGTCGATCCAACGCCTGAAGGATCAAAAGCTCAGGTTCCAGATCAGGATGTCCATTCTAGAGAAGAAGCTCATCGCGTCCAAGAAGGAGCTGGCCATTGTGCTTCAAGAGAGAGACAAAGGCAGGGCAGCTAGAATGAAGAAATACATCGAGGAGCAAAGCAGGGCCATGAGATCTCCCAGGCACAGGACACCACCTCGCCGGTCTCCAAAGCCAGTTCCGGCCGACAGGGTTGTGGGAAGCGTCTCTGATCGCTCACAAAAGGAGAAGTTTGGCAAGAAAGACTAAGCTTCTTCCTAAGTTCCGGGGACTTACATCCATGGGAGCCTCCACGACAAGTTAACAGACTCCTGGCCGGAAGAGTTCCTTAAGCGGCCTCTCCAGGTAGCGATTTTCTGCTTTCATCTCATATGTCACTCACACTGGTTTGTTTATTTGCAGAGCGGAGTGTAAAACAACTCCAGAGAAGCACAAGCCTTGGAGAAAATGGTAGAATTCATTCATCCATCTCCTCCTACTCATATTCATCTAAAGCAGGATCTTCTCGGCAGACGTGTGACACGAGGATATACGGCCCGGAAGTCGTAACATTCAACTCCATTATCCTCTGGGCGACGCGCTCGCCTCGCTCGGTATCCCCGTGCTTGCAGCAAGCGCTCAGCAGCGTCGTCCACGCAGCCACGTCCGGCTTAAACGGCATCGAGGTAAGCAGCTCCTCCGCTTCTTCCAGTAACTTAGCTCGTCCCAGCAGGTCCACCATGCAACAGAAGTGCTCCAGCACGAGAGGAACGCCATACACGGGCTTGATCGACACGAAGTGGTCGCGCCCCTGCGAGAGGAGCCCGAGATGAGCGCAACCAACGAGCAAGTTGATGAAGGTCACCTCGTTTGGCCGGACTCCGTCCAGGTTTAGCCTCCGAAAGAGCTCCCCGACTTGATGGTGGTGGCCATTTTGAGCGTAGGCCGTCATCATCGCGTTCCAGGAGACAACGTTCCGGTTTGGCATGAGATCCAGCAACTCTCGAGCTTGGTGGAGGTGGCCGTGCTGCGTGTAAGTCGCGAGCATACAGTTCAATGAAACCATGTCCTTTTGAGGCATGCTCTCGAAGAAACTCTGCGCTTCCACGAGATGGGCATTTGCGGCGTGTGCTGAGATCATTACGTTCCAGGTGAAAACGTCCCAGGCAGGCATTTTTCGGAACAACGACATGGCCGGGTCAAGATGCCCCTTTTGGGCATTTGCTTGCACCATGCCATTCCACGTAACAACATTCCGCTCGGGGCATTTAATAAACACCTCGCGAGCCTTTTCTAGTTGACAAGCCTCTACGCAAGCTTTTACCATAGCTGTCCAGGTTACCACGTTTCTCTGTGGCATGAGATCAAAGGTTTTGGTGGTTTGCATCAAATCCCCCAGATTAGCAAATGCGGTAATTAGAGCAGTCCAGGATATCACGTCGCGTTCTTCCATTTGGTGGAATATTTGATGCACCATTGATGTGTTCTTCTTTTCTGAGAACGCAGTGATTAATCTATTCCACGATCGAATCTCATGCTGCGGCATGTAATCAAAGAACTGTTTCGCTTTGTGCAAATCCCCAGCTTGGGCAAATCCAGTTATCATCGAGTTCCACACCGCACAATCTCTATGGCGCATGGTATCGAAGATGGATTTCGCCTCGTCGATGTGTCCAGCGAGCGTGTAGCCATTGACCATGGCGGTCCAGGAAACGGCGTCCGGATGCGGCATCATGTTGAGTGCCGCGCGCGCGCGATCGAAGTGCCCGTTGCGCACGTAGGCGGTGATGAGCGCGTTCCACGAGTAGGAATTCGGATCCGGGATGCGATCGAACACCAGTTGGGCTTGCTCCACGCACGAAAGCCTCCCATACATGTCCACGAGGAGATTGGCGACGAACCGGCTGTGGCAATTGCTGCTCACGATGAAAGAATCGATGGCGCGGAGCTGCGCGACGCTCTCGCTGGACCGGATCGCCCGAATCACACCGGCAAAATCGATCATTCGCCGCTACCTTCGCCATCAAAGAAAGAACATCGCGGGGAGATGAGACCAAACAAGTATAGAATATTCTGGCGAGTATATGAAATATTATACATCATTTATCTTCTTTAGAACCGATTTGCGGTTTCATGACGCTCACTGAACAATTCAGGGCATGAATAGAAAAAGAGATGAATAAAACTTACATTTGTTTCTTCAACATTGTTGCTGCGGCCTTGAATGTGCATTTATATCTGTCACTTTTCTCAGCTAGCGAAGAAGCTTGTGCAACTGCATTAGCTATTGGAGAAGCACGAGCTTGGGCCTGAGCCAGGGGCAACTAACCTGGAGTTGCAAAATGTTGCTATTGCTCCAACTCTTGCTACTTGTTTCAGCCCCTCCCAAATTTATCCTGGGTCTCTGCTGTCTCCAAGGGGCCTGCATCTCAAGCAGGAGAGCTCCTCCTCTCAAACTACTGCTCTTCAACCAGAAGGGGTTGCCTCTGGACTGTGACTTGGAGTTATATTTGCGATTGAGTTTGTGGAGTTGATGATGTTGCAGAAAAATTGGCAGAGCACTCAAAATTTGTTTTGTTTCACTTTTGGCACTCATAAGATTGTCCTATAGATAGATGATAGAATTGTGACAATGGTGGTGATTATCAAAGACACTTTGAGTAGTCAGGTTTGGAGCAACTGGTATGTTCATACAAATGAGTTGACTGATTTAAAGGCTGCGTTGATACAAGGTGGAAGTGGGCTAGAGGAGGCGATTGCAAAGGAGGAGGCTGGAAACGGCTCTCGGAAGCTCCCTGGGGACTTCATATCTTTCTTCTCCCTGGAGATTCATATCTTTCGGATGACGACGAAATTGCACTCTGTTCTTTTGAAGCTTATCTAGATCTAAGATGAGGATGCATTGGGCTCTCGCGAAGTCCAGATGCAGGCTCCCTCCTGCATGACGAGTTCGTGTGCATGAATCTCCAGGCTATGGGCGAAGATGGGAACCTGAAAGATGGCGCGTTGCCCGAGTTTCTTAACTTCAGGCCTGTGTACGCGAAGCCCTCGCTTCCGGCAGCGCTTGCTCACGAGGCCTTCGGGAACGTGTTCGGACATCGTCTTCTTCACGAAGATGGCAGTCAAGTGTTCCCGGTATTACGATTACAAGGATGAAGTCGCCGAGTTATGGAAAGCAGGAATGGACTTTATCAACGAACTCAACACTGGGGGCCACCATGATTTGCCGGCTTTATTGACAGCTTTGGAGGCGAAAGTTGGGATATTCGCAAGCAAGTGTGACCCAGGCAAGCAAGGCCCGCAGTATGTGAGGCCCTACTGGGCAGATTGGAGACAGGGATAAGTTCTACCTGACTCGTTATCCTGCGCTGCTGATCGAGCACATTGGGCCCTTCGTTCGGATCAGTGCCGTTTTTTTGTTGGCAAGCTGTGCGTCACTCCGCTGACTCAACTTGCTGCTGCTTCACGAGCACGACATGTCCGTCGTTCACCTTTGCAAGGCAACCAGGCTGGCCCTGCAGGAGCTCTCTAGCTTCTACAGGAACCACAAAGGTGGGCACCTGACTGTCCCGTACCCTCTCAAGTGTTCCAAATACGTTCCCTGGCCCTTGGCAGCAGGGAAGCTGTTTTTTCTTGTCTGCAGCATGGTGGAGGTAAGGCTCTTAAGAGTGTTCAGATTTGTGATTTTTCTTTAGATTTAGCTTTAGCATCATCTAGATCTTTGATTTTCTTTTATTTTTTTTATTTTTTCTCCTCTCACAGTAAGTAAATCCTTTATTTATGGAGTAATAATTGCTATAATTGCTCAAACACAATTGATAGCAATATTCATGACATATGGTGCAACTTCTCTTCCTCCTACTCCTTTTACCAATCCTTAAATCTAGTTGGATTTTTTCTATGGAAATTTTAAAGATGATATATATTATTGGTTTAATCAATTCATAGTAACTGCCACTTATCATTTTTAGGATGATGTTTGGATTTCATTATTACTTCTTACCATTTTTTCATGCTCTTCTCATGTTCCCTCAATAATCTTTATAGTATTATAGTTGATTGGCTAAAGAAAAAGGATATTGATTTCTTCGACTTTCATATGTCTTCTAGGGAAAAGATTGCAATATGTCAATCTTCTTCTAATTAGAGATGTTCATTTAAACAAGATTCATGTTTAGTATTAATCACCACAAGAGATCAAAATCTGGTGAGCCAATATTAAGGAAATGTTAAAGAAAGGTGTTATTTGGAAAGTTTGAAATTGTTAGCTATATAAACCTTATTTATGAAGTATGATAAAAGGATTTGGTTCAACATCAACTATCACCCATTGAATGATATGACAGTTTTGACCATGTACCCACTTCCTCGTTTAAAGCAAAGCCATTAGTTCACCATGTTAAATCTCACCTTTAGGTATTGGCAATATTTTTAAAATTATTTTCTATATGAATGGATCAAAACATCATTAATGAATCACCTTTGGCATATTATAAAGAACTTTATCCATATATTAAAAAGTCACTGAAACATTACTCAAACCAAATACCATCATTAAGTACTTATATAAACTAAATAGTGAAAGTGATGTGGGAAGAACATATTTATGATGTACATAAGGTTTGGATTGGTTATATAAAGTTGGTTTGAAGTTAAAGTAGTTTATAAAATCTAAAAACACCACTTATCTTAAGTTTTACATTTCTTATGAAGGTTTGCAAATTAATTTTGACAAGCTTACAATTGTTTTAAGGTTTTCTACACTGAAGTGTATGAATAATGCATAGTGTTTCACTGGCAAAATGCAATATCTTATTAATTATATTTTTTATTGTACTG